ACGGTACAGGATTAAAATAGATTGACCAAATGGCTCAGTATATAATAATATCTTGCTGCCCAGAACTAGCATATGATTATAATTATGAATGCGTCCTGCTTATCAAGAGGAAAAAGAAAACAGAGAAAACTACACACATTTAAGCTAACCACCACTGAATCTGGATCTGATCAGGATAATCTTAGTGAAGGAAAAAAGGCCATTGAGGTTACATATTGGGTTGCAGTAGATTGTCCTTTTCGATAATCAATATTGTGCTTTTCGATGATCAGTATTCTGATAGAAATAATTAGCAAGTGAAATTCACTTATGTCTCTACTTTTCTTTGTTGAAACCCCCAATAAGTGACAATTAAAATTGTCTTCCATTTTCCTTCAAGTTACCAAATTATTTTAATAATAATGCAAAATCGCCACCTGTCAATTGCAAAAGCCATATTGTTTGGGTGCATTACATACTACACTGATACATTACAACACCCTCTTGGGAAGAATTTGATGCGTATGAAGGCCAACACCAGCTAAAGAACTGGCAGCTGTCACTTCACAGCGTTGTGAACGGATAATAACATCTGTCTATCCAATTTGATAGTTGGATAAAAAGGCCAAACCCAGTCTAAACACCTGGATGGCTATGTGACCAACCATATATTTTTAAATTTATATCCTGCCGGATTCCCAGCAGCTCTGGATGATTTTGTCTTTTAAAACTCATGATGTATTTTTTGGGGGATGGGGCCTGTCTTCTCCGTTGGTAGCTGGACCGATATCTGTTAAAGATATTTTGTTCGTCTTTTTCTTCATCTTTAATGTCAGATATTTTTTTTGCCTTTAGATGAAGTGGCTGCAACGAGCAATGCTAGGATTGATCAGTCCCAGTCCACCGAGGAGGCCACCGAAGCCACGGAGGTGCCAGAGAACGGCGGGAGTGAAACGGAGCCAGCCCAGGTCCGGACTGGCCCCCTTACAGAACATGTGTTTACCGATCCAGTTCCAGCTCAGGCACCTGCAAGGCAGAACAGGTAAAGGAGGCGTTGCGTGTTCTTGTCCTGGAAAGTCCCAGCAACGAATTAGAATAAATGGGAAAGGGACAGTCAGTTACAGAATAGAGAATGCCATGTGAAAGAAGATCAAAGCTTGGCCAAATAAAAGTAGTTCCCAGCTTATATCCATTTGTTTACTGATTGTTCAAAGTTACAGTGGCATTGAACAAGGTGATCTATGACCAACCCTCATACTTATAGTTGCAGCATCGCCAATTTTATGATTAAAATTCGGGCACTTGGTAACTAGCATGTATTTATGATAGCTGAAGCATCCCAGGGTCACTTGATCATCATTCATGACTGTTGGCAGCCGGTTTCCTACAAGCAAAATGGGGAGGAACAGACTCAGACTCAACCCTTCCAAGACCGAGTGGCTGTGGATGCCAGCGCCTCGGCATAGTCAGCTGATTCCATCGCTGACTATAGGGGGCGAAATCCTGGCCCCCTCAGAGAGGGCACGCAACCTGGGAGTCCTCCTGGATTCACGGCTGACATTGGAAGATCACTTGTCGGCCGTGACCAGGGGGG